GATAGGTGGATAGTTGTGGATATGTTCAGATAGATAGATAGGTAGGTGTGGGTGTGGGTGTGGGTGTGGGTGTGGGTGTGGGTGTGAGTAGTTGAATTCTTCCTACTCATTATCCACCCTCACCCACACCCACACCCACACCCACACCCTATCTAACTAACCATATCCACAACCATCGATCCACCTATCCATGCGTATATAGAGTTATCTACCTACCTATCTATCTAACTAACCATATCCACAACTACCGATCTATCCATCTATATATAGAGCTATCCACCTATCTATCTATCTAACTAACCATATCGACAACTACCGATTTATCCATGTATATATAGAGTTATCTACCTATCTATCTATCTAACTTACCATATCCACAACCATCGATCGATATATCTATCCATATAATGAACTATCCACCTATATACCTAATTGTATAGTGCTGTATGCGTCTATCTATGTGTCGGTCTATCTGCCTGTGTGTACATCTGTCTGTTTATCTGTTGATATGTCTGTGTACTCATCTATCGGAGTATCAACCTATCTTCCTATTTACCAGCTAGATAGATAGGTACATAAATCTCAGTGATATTATCACTGAGATGTGACATGCACTCGACGCAGATGAAAAAATCCCAAATAACAAATCGTGTGTAATATAGTGTACCTCCTTTACTCGTTCTAATTCTGTTGTATAATGAGTAAGTTTATTTATGTATATATAATAAAATATATCTTTTTGAAATAAAAGTCAGATAATATATTGACTTATTCATTTTTCGTATCTTCTTTGTAAGTAAAAAAAGCATTACTTTTCCTAGGATAAAAAAAACTGATTTAATTTATCTTTGATAATATATTTCCAAAATAATTTAACATTTTTGATTTTTACAAATTAAACTTGAGTAATCATGAAGATGATGAATATAAAGAAAGTATATTTTTTATTTGTTTTTATCCCGATAATGAAATTGAAGATTTAAAGAAACAATTCTATGTTGATGAAATACAATCTCTAATAGATATCTTTCATGAAAAATTAAATATAATTGATATTTATGATAATTTCAACCGATTGTTTTCATTTAATTGAAGAACAATATTATAAATGGACATTTTTTAATTAAAAAAATGAAGTGATTTTCTTTAGATGCAACTATTTCGTCGAGCTATGTTACGTTTTGCATATGATGAACAAGCAAAAAGAACAAAAGATGGATTTATTTCATCATTTCTTCAAAAACTAATTAATAAAGCATTGAATGTGGGTGTGGCTGTTTATGATGAATGAGAAGAATACCCCCATCCATCCGTTTGGTATTAATCTTGAGTAGAAAAATCAAGTCCAGATATCTGATGAAGTCGATTGGACAAGCAAGAGCTTGTTTACTCTGAATCTCTTTTCATCAAATTTATTAAGCAAAATTACAGAAAAAAAAGAACACAGAAATTTGTTTTGTTTACAATTAATCAAAATAAAGCTGTGAGCATAATATAACGATAATTGAGAGTAAACTTATGATTTTGACAGTCTTGTTTATTTTATGAATTGCAGTAGAAGAAAAAAGGGTGTGGGTATGAATATATGTATTGCATCTTCTTTACCCACACGCACATCCATCTACAACCATATCCATACTCACACCCACACTCACCTAAACTCACATCCACTATATATAAAATCATGCAAAGATTAACAAAGAAGAGCAATTAGTAAAAAGTCAAAATTTTTAATGGATAAGGAATTTTTAAACTAGTATCTAGAGAACCAAATTTTTAAATATATTTTTCTCGATTTTCTTCTACCATTCTTTTTTCGAAAGCTTGTCTTGCTTGAGCAAGTCGATTAAGGGATGCCTTAATAATTGCTAGTTGTCGTTCAGGAGACTTATATTGTAATGTATGAAGTTGGGCTGCTGTTTCTTTCGTATCTGTAGCATGGCTTTTGAATCTTTTTAGATCTGTGATGATACCAGCAATATTTTTCGACAACTCTCTAATAAAATCATTAAATTCATTAAGCGTTTTTATATTACGTTGATGTTTTCTAATGCTAACTACGTCTTTACCGAATAGCCAAGCCCAAAATGAATCTTTTAATAATTGATCTAATTCCGTATCACTGATTTGTTTGCCTTTCTTAATTAGATTTTGAATCGTCTTAATTTTACTAATAATCCATTTTAATGTTGCATCAAACTCTTGGGCTTTAATCAAAACCTTGTCTATCTGCTCATTTATTGCATCCGTATAATCATTGAATGTATGAGTTGCTAAATCTGTTGTTTTCGTGTTTGAAGATTCTAAATAGAAAATATAGTTATTCGACAAAGAGATAGAGACTCCTACACTTATTAACAGAAAACGCCTCAAAATGGTTTGGTATGATCTATTCTCAACTATTATCCATTTTTGAAAATAAGTCGCTTAGATAGAATTTTCATAACCTTTGAACGAAAAATGAAAGAGATCTGGGGTTTTCACCGTTTTAAAGAGCGGAGTAGGGCACGTAAAATCGTATAATCAAGATTTTTTTGGCATCTTCTCTTAGAATTTTGTGCCAATTATCTAACAACACCATGCGTTAACTAGTTGAAAAAATCGAGTTGTTCGCAAAATTATTGAAAAATTAGGTTGGGCCTACCAGTAATATTGCTATATCTCCTGCGCTGTAGAAGATACCAATATGATATTGGTCTACAGTTATAGACCTTGATTCAGACTATCGATGTACTATTTAAAAATTCAAATTCATTATACTTTTACGAAATAGCAACCTCATCGAGTTCACATTCGATGATATACTATAATAAATTTAATTTGAAGGACTCGGGAAAAAGAAAATTGGTCGACATGATTATTGGTCGAAAAATGTATAATTACAAAAGAAGATAAGTGTTTTATAAAGTGTATTAATTATCGTCTTCAAGTACAAAACTACATTAACTTCTACATAATTAATACAATGAGAGGAAAGAAAAAGATTGATTGAAAAAAAATAAACCAGATGGATATCAGAAGTAGGATTTATGAATCATAAGGAGGTCTCTCCAATTTTTTCGAAAACCTGATGCGAGCACATTATTAAATGGCACAAGTGCTCATAGAAGTGAACAAACTATTTTTCTAATACTTTCAATTAAGAGCGAGATTTAAGTGCGTGCTGAAATCGCACCGAAGTTTGTGTGATCTTGAATATTCAGTATAATTTCAATAATCTTACTTCGTTTTACTTTTTCTACAGAATTAAGTTTAGTAAAATCACAGTGAAGGAAATATTATTCATTTTTCGAAATTCTGTGATATCTTATAATACAAGTCTATTAAACTAATGAGTTTTGTATAAAAAAGAATCTCGTCTATGATGGCATGTGTTATTGAGAGAACAGATGCTGCTTCATAATAATCTATAGCCGACACTAATTAGTAAGCATCAGTCAAACATGTTGGTCAGTCTGCAGTTTGTCTATAGTTGTCTGCCTGTTTTTTTCTTTATTGATTTACTAATTCATTTAGCGGATTACTTCAATTTAAAATATTTTCTTCATTTAATTACAAAGTTGTTGGCTAATTCTTGAAGGCCGGAAGAACTCTTTCTTACATAACACTACGTGCCCTAGCGTGCTCTATCTGACCATGAAAACCACAAGCCTCGATCAATTTCCCTTCAAAAATTATACGAGTTCTCGCCAAGTGACGTGTTTTCAAAAATAGATAATAAGTGCTAATGAGAAAAGTGTGAGACGATCAAAATAAAGATATTTATATGACAAAAACTAATATTTATCATACCTATTTGTAATTGATCACGTTGATAATTATTTGAATTTTTTGATTTCGAAAGATCATCTAGTAAAAATTCTGTATGAATGTTTATCGCGTCAAGAGCGCTATTAAATGATATTAGCATGCTAGTCGATTGATCAGCTCCTGTTTCCATAAGCTTTTGTAAATCTAATAATGTGGCTGCTAAATTATTTTTAATTTCTGACTTGATATCACTTTCCATTATTTCAGCTCGAATTTCGATGAATGCAAGTTTTGCATGAACACAATGCATTGGAGCAGTGACATCGGCATCAGACAGTGTCTTGGCTAAGGACATAGTATTCTCAGTTAGACTCTCCAATGGTAAATAAGACAGCATATTAATTTCTTGTCCTGGACAAAATTTGTGTATAAACGGTATAAACCCTGCGTTTTGACATATAATTGATACATAAATATAATATACAGGAATAAAAATAAATCCCATAATAATAGTTGGTCGAATAAGTATACGATATATAATTCCAGCTATGTGAAGTATTTCATTGATGATACGTTCTCTAATTCCATCCATGATGATAACCAATTTATATTGTATTTGTTGACTGTGTAAGTGTTAGCCTGTATATGAAGATTACTTGCGAATCTAAAAACGTTCACTATATATAAGTCAATAAGCTGGAACAATCTAATGACAGGCTGGAAAAATAACGAAGGACAAACAATAGAGATAATAAAAAAACATGTATACGTTCTATCGTCATTTGTCTATACGATATTCGGGAAGACGAAAGAAAAAAAGAAATAAGCTGTACTTTAACGATAAGAATATTCATTTTTTTTTATCTGTACAATACGTTCTGCTTTTTTCCATTTGCTAAGTTTTGAGACAAAAAGCAACATAATAAAGAAGCGTTGTGATAGAGAACGAAATTTGGTTGTTGGCGTGTGTGTGAATTTGAGTGTGCGTGTTTTGTGCGTAAGCTCCCAACATCTACACCCACACCCTTATACCCAATGCTTAGCAAACAGGATTTTTCTCGACACAGAAAAGAAAAGGGAAAAAAATAGATCGTACTTTTGTAACTGATGGTATGATGAGCCGAATGAGATAAAACATTTCACTACATCACTTACGTGAAAAGACTAAATAGGTTTACAAAATCGAGGGTGGGTGGGTGTGGGTGTAGGTGTGGGTGGGTGTAGGTGTGGGTGTGAGTGTAGGTGTAGGTGTAGGTGTGGGTGTGGGTGTGGGTGTGGGTGTGGGTGAGGGTTTGGTTGTGGGTGTAGGTGTGGGTGAGGGTTTGGGTGTGGGTGTGGGTATAGAAATAAATCAGCCATACCCTTAATTCAAAAGAGGTTTTAGCAGGTCTTTCGTTACTGATTGGAAAAAGGAAATACTTATATGCTAGTTAATTACTACATCGTATCTTGTTGTTCAAATATTAATAAATAAAAGAATTCATTGTATTTCAAAGAAAACTTATTATTATATTCAATATTTTCCTTTTCGACAATTTCCTTTCGATATTTTTCTCTCACATTATTTCATATTTCGACGTCAGCCTTGTCGACATTTTCCTTTTCGATATTCGCCTTTTTGATAATTTTTTCGACGTCAGCCTGTTCGGCATTTTCCTTTTCGGCCTTTTCCACCAAGATCATCTTCGAGATCAACTTCTCTAGTAATTCATGCATATGCTAATTTTCTATTTGATTGTATGTTTACGTATGTCTGGTATTTTTCGTTATACCTCTTATTAAATGAATGTTTCATCTAGTAAAATTATTCATAACAATTTAGTGATTCAAATAATATTATTCTATCCATATCGTTCTTTTTTGTCGTAATATAACAGAATTTACTGTGAATTAACTAATGTAAAAAAATCTTTCTAGTTATTGTTACATTGGATGAGCTTAAAGTATTTAAGGCTCGGCCTAGACCAGAGCCAACATTCAAAAGTGGTCTGATACAAGAGACTAAATGAACTTCAGTAAAAACTACGATCATTACGACGCACTGATGAAAAAAGTGATGATATACAAATACTATATGAAGCTTGATCAAGTTTATCTAGCAACAAGAACATCAAGTTAAATATAAACTCTCGATAATTTCTAAATATAATTCAATTTTAACCATAAACTCTTTATAGTTTGCTGAAATGATTCTTTTGTCACTCAGATAAGGACTGTCACATTACTACTACTTTTTATTACAATTACTTGGTAACTGCTAATAATTTTATTACTTTTATTACTTATCACTTATTATCATAACTTGCTTTGTTTTTTGTTGTTTCAATGGCACTATACCTATTGTTGTTTGTTATTAGCGAGATATCCAGTAGTTTGTTGTAACTTTATTACAATTACTTTTATTACCTTTTAAATTTCATTACTTTATTACCAGTAATAAGTAATAAGTAATAAGTAATAAGTAATAAATAATAAAAAAATATTACTTATTGCTTTTTTATTTCTTTATTACTATTTGTGATATTGTGACTTATTATTGGTAATTACTAATAGTATTTATTACTTTATTGCTTATTACGTAAAAAAATTTTTATTACTTATTCCCCTTATTATTTATTACTTTGCGAAAACTATTGCTATTGCTAGTAATAATAATAACGTTAAAAATTATTACTTATTACCGGTAATGGTAATGTGATAGCTCTAACTCAAATAATATATAAGTTGTCCCTACTTCTGTAGCGGTATCAATAACTTATCCGTTTATACTATGCGCAAATAGTTAATAATATTGCATAAAAACACTGCTTACCTTTTTTTAGTACGTCTATGAAACTTGATTCTGTATTTGAAAATATGAGTGATATTCGTTAATTATATATCAATAGCTCCTCCGCATCTCTTTTTCATATTTTTTTGTTTTCGTTTTTGCTGTTCTTGCTTACCATTTGCATTTCGTCTCCCTCATTTCATCACGGCGTTATCGCTCATCAGTCTGGCTTGTGCGCATATTTTCGAACCAATAGCTATTTTATCTCAATACCGTTAAAAAATTTGCGCGTTCTTCCGAATTAGTAACTGTCTTACGTCACTACGTTGGAAATTTTCGCGCATAGCTTCGAACCAATTCGTGTCTTACGACAATGCGCAAAAAAATACATCTGAAGCGTTAATATTTTCGATAATTATAAATGGATATATAACGCGTGCGTTAGAATAAATGGCACATTTTGTATTTCGTGAATATCTCGCTTAGTTTTAAACATGGAGAGCTCAGATTAGAGTAAAAAACTGAGCCTTTTAATTCTCTACAAGTTTAACCCTTTCCGGCCGGATGTTGCCAAATGGCAATATTTTGTCAATATTGTCTTGGGGTTTATTTTAAAGCGATGAGATATAGTTTATGAAGTGGTTTGATAATTAACTACATGCATTTCGGGACAATTCTATGCTTTTTCAAGAAACGAGAAAGCTATTGTTGAGGAGAGGGATGGATTCTCCCGCCAACACCCAATACAGCTCCAAAGTCGAAATGACCTGTTTTTCATTTCTCCGAGCATTTGATACGGGAAGTTATTAGTGGTTAATTTTCCTCTTCAGACCCATTATGTATTATACCAATAATGTGAATTGTTCACTTTACTCGAAGAACAGAGTACAGGAATGTTGCCTTTTGGCAACATTCGGCTGTAAGGGTACAAAAAGTTGGGGAAAGTAAATTATTTTTCCTCGATGGAAGTCCTATAATTTGTTGTTAGCTATAGTCCAGATTGTCAAACAAAAGCATACTTTGTTCATCTATCCATCTCTTACAGTCTTAATGTGAGATATACTCCCATAATACTCAAAAACTGTCCAAAATAGTGCAAATTTTACCTATTTTTCATAGAGAAGCTCACAAATTCAGCGAGACTCCAACAAGATTTACAGGATTTACAGCACATCATAGTATTCCTTTTCAGATTACTATAAAAAATTACTAATCTTGTTAAAATCTTACTAAATTCATGATATTCTCTAAGAAGAATAAACAGAATTTGCACTATTTTGGACAGTTTTTGAGTATTATGGGAGTATATCTCACATTAAGACTGTAAGAGATGGATAGATGAACAAAGTATGCTTTTGTTTGACAATCTGGACTATAGCTAACAACAAATTATAGGACTTCCATCGAGGAAAAATAATTTACTTTCCCCAACTTTTTGTACCCTTACAGCCGAATGTTGCCAAAAGGCAACATGCTGGTATTCGGCTTAGTATCAGTTCTTTAAACTCCAAGATAGAATTCGATAACCTCCATATCTAAGAGACAAAGAATCTATAGAAGAAGAATTTTTTGCTTGCTTTCTTCTGGCAGCCGGCCGGAAAGGGTTAATATGAGAATTTATTCTGTACAAACAAAGCGAAAATATAAAAACAAGAATATTCAATAGATTCAAGAGAGGCAACTTTCTAAGATGGAAAATCGTTTTCTAGGTTTTTTTTCATTGAATGTCGACTATAAAAATAAAGTAATATGAGCATTTCGTAGCAATTGAAAATCTCTATCGAACGATCGTAGTTTGAAAGTTTCATGTTATTTCTTATAACTCTTTCAAATAAATTTTTTATATTTCCCCGCTTTTTAATTTGACTGTGCTAACTATTATTTATTTATAAAACTCATCGATAGATAAACGAAATTTTGATTTATATTAAGAATCTTTAAAAAACACTATTCAAAGCTAAGACCATTAATCGAAATATAGAAATTTTGTTTGTTTCCTATTTCTAGAAAAACTCGTGCATAATGGTTCTTTTAGGCGCTTAAATTTGTATTTAATAGTACTGGTGTCGCTTTTTTTTACGTGTGCCAACATGAAATTCCATGAAAAGACTATATAAGCGTCAGAGAATTCAAAATAGTTAAAATAGACATACTACGCAATGTTTTTGTGGAAAAAGAAGCTGGTAAACGGACTGTAGTGCATAAAACTTGAACTCTATCCAAATTTAATTTTTCGAAACCTCATATTTTATTTGATGCATCGATTTATTTAATGTTGGTTAATTTATTTATACCAGTATTAAAATAAAAAGTAATCATTTATTTTGTTGCACGCATTTTCTTTTGTAAAGAGAAAATTTTAGTAGATTCTTAGATGTCAAGAAAATTTTAAAATTGCTAAATAAAATCTGAATTTCTACAAGTGCCCATATTTATTCACGTTCGATTTTCTAAATGGAAAATCGATTTTGTTATTACTTTTTTTTCAATACTGTAATGTTAAGAAAATAGAAATTTATTTATCAATATATATAAACACTCTTAGGATATTCTTTCTTATTCTCTATACATTATTTTGAAATTTACAGTCTAACAATTAATTTCAAATACCGATATGGTTTGTAGATAAAATTCTTATATTGGAAAATTTAAATTTTATTTTCTGTATTGTTGTTGTTGTTATTTTTATTCAAGAATATTTTGGATGCACTTTTATGATCACCTTCTATCTTTGTAATCTACAGACATTCGTTTTTTGATAGACAGTAATTACCTTGAGACATAATTTCTTTTTTTCTTCATACGCAAAATAATCGATTACTCATAACATATTTCAATGGAGATTGTGCAATAGTGATGAAATCTCCTTAATAACATTTTTTTTGTCATTAAAGTTGTATAAAACAAAAAGAAAAATTAAGAAATATTATAAACAATTTATTCCTTGAGCCGATATGGTTTATAGATAAAATTCTCATATTAGAAAATTTAAATTTTATTTTCTACGTTGTTATTATTTTTTACAAGGACTTTTTAGATACAGTTGGATGATCACTATTTCTCTTTCGAGTTAAAGCACATGCTTTTGTATGATAGACAGTAATTACTTTGAGATATAATTTCTTTTTTTCTTCATACGCAAACCAATCGATTACTCATAACATATTTCAATGGAGATTGCGCAACAATGATGAAATCGTCACAACAACGTATTATGTTTTCGTGATCTAATAGGCATTAAAAAGAAGGAAATTTCAAGAAAGATTGATGTGAGTAGAAATTGCTTCCTGATATTTGTCACTGATACGTGGTCGGTAGAAGCAGTTGTGAATTATATTTTTATTGGCTCTTCATTTCATACGACAATGTGCTTATGCGTCGATTAATACAAAAATTAGTAAAATTTTGAATCTATATTTGTTGTTGGGTTGTAATGTTAAATAAATATAAATAAAATTTATATGTTTTTAAAATGATACTGAATAAATTGTTATTTTTTTTACAACAATGAACAAACAATTGTGAACTATAAAAGCAAGACATGCTCATGAAAACACGTTTATTGCAATGAAATGTTTGTATCAATTCCAAACATGATATACATAACCAGTGACGCTCATTCTTGAATCTGATCGCCGTTTTCTTAAAGAGGCAATACTAGTTTGTTTAGTAAACTGAACGGTCTGATCATGTAATTGTCCTGAACTACGACCGAGACATACAATAATCACAACAGATCACTGTAAAAATCTCACATAATCTCATACAACGCTGACGAGGTTCTGAAGCAAATATATTCGGTGAAACAAAATTTTAAATTCAGAATCAGCATGGTCGATTACTAGCTTAGCCGTTGAGATATTGAGAGGACACTAATGGCAATAAGCGAAAAAAACTCAAAACTCACTCAGAGAAAAGCGAAACAGAGAGATATTAAGTCACATGTTTCACACCGAATTTTAACCTGCATGCCATCATATACACTCTTTTCCGCTCAGTTATATGCGAGTTATAGTTCATTTTCATCACGAAATCAATCAATTCCATTGTCGAAAGGTTAAGCTTACGTAGATATACGGATGAGACGAACATATCTTGATGAATATATATTCTTTTTCTTAATTTTCTAAAATAGCAGTTGCGCAAACCCATTCCTTTCCAAACACAACAAGATTCTCATTCAAACAGTTTCGCAATGGTCCTTTCAAGCAGCTTGAATATTATCGCAATACTTTTCGCTCACACACAGCTATTGATGAGCCTTAACTATCCCGGCTGATGTATTGACTTTATTAATTTTGATAGACCACTTTTTCATACGAACATGATTTACTGTGCACAATATGAGCGTCCTTCAATAATTTATAGTCTAGTTTTAGCCCAAAGCATAAATTCAAATGTTGGAGATAATATCAAATTTGAGATTGTTTGACAAGATGTACAAAATTAGTGCATTAAAAACTGTGGACTGCATAGCCGAAGTGATAGTACTCACTGATGTTTCGATTATAGACGATCAATAAAAAATAAAAAACTTGTCTATCTATTATGAAATTTGTTGCAAGACTATTATATATTCCTTGTTATCAAATTGTAAGGTTGTCATTATGTTATGATTTGATCGATTCCTCTAATAAGTATTGCTGCTCAAGGTTTTATTTTGTATGAAGCGCTTGTACATTCTTCATTTTTTTGTATAATATTGAAGTGTGTATATTCACAAAATCACATTATAGATTTGGTTGAATGCGCATACTCATATTTAGTTATGTATATAGGATTGTAAACGTATAATAAAAAATATATTAAGCGAACGAGAGTAGGAAAGAATATACTTGAAGTGAATATAATGAAGCACGTGGTCGTCGTTGCAACGAACGCTAAATTACCAATATAAGATTATATATTTCGTTTGGCTTCATTATTTTTTAATTTTATTGTGATCTTAAATAAAAGTTATACAATCGAACAACAGTGACTCACAAATTACTCTATTTGCGTATGATATTCTCTCTCGTATTGATATTAACATTATAATTGTTGATCGTACATAAGGATTTTAATTTCTAATAGAATGATATTACACCACCTATTAATAAATTTCGTAAACGTTGTATTATTTTATTAACAAGAATAATATAATATTGCTGTTTAACATCTACGTCGTACTGAAGAAAAAATATTCTATTTCTTGTAGGCTATGCATAGTGTTTGAAAAATCGAAAGATACATATAGATATCTCCAGCAAAAAAAACACGTTCACTCTATTTATTTAATATTGAAATATTTTATAAAATAAAATAATTTTATTTAAGATACAAATTCAACGTTTACAACAAACAATAACTTCAGAAGCAAATGAATCTAAATTAAAAGATTGGTTTTTATCAATTTCATCTGAAAATAATATATCAGACGTATAAATAATAAAATTATTTTCTCAATCTAAAAAATTCTTCTCATTTATTTCTAGTTAACTCTTCATGTCATCTGTACGATTATTTCATCAATGAAGATCTAAATGATGAACATATTTCTGAAAGTAATTATTTATCAGATCGTATTGGTTATTTTATTAATTATAATAAACAAATTGCTCATAATAATATTAATAATAAATATCAAGTATTATTACTTCAAGAAAATTTGTTAACTGCTATTATAAAACAACATTGTACAAAAGTAGCAAATCATCAAACAAATCTTGAGGGATAGTTAAAAGATTCTGATGAATAACTTTTAAATGAAAATCAAAAAATGAAACTTGAAATATAAGAATATCGTTCGAAATTTCTTCAAATAACAAATATAAGTTATCAATTAGAATTTGAATTTGGTTTAAAATGAAATATTCTAAATAAAACATTCTTTTCTCAAATTGTAGAATAACTCATTGGCATGTGACGATATTGCTACACAATTTTCATTCTTATATGTAACCAACTTTTTCTGGTTAGGTTAAAGCAATAAAGAGAATGCAATTTATTTGTGAACAACCATTCTCTTCACTATGTGTGATAGTACAATTTAAATTAATTTTTTCATCAAACTATTAATATAATCACACATTAAATTGTAAGTTATTTTTGAATGGTTCGAAGCAATTATTAAAATAAATCATGACTTAGTTGTAGAAAATAAAATAAAACTTATGTTACAAAACATTAGACAACGAAATTGATTCATGGTATATTCGAATCTAGGACATTTGCCCGCAAGACTTGTACTTGCCAAGCAAGCACCCGTCTATAACACTTTCTCAACACATACTTATACATCATTTTTCAGTTCCATCGATCTGTGATTTTAGTGTTGATTGGAAGATAGCCACATATACATCCATTCATTCCCATCCTGCCAATTTACGTGAAACTCCTAATTGCTAGTCGTTTGTATTTTGTAATACTTAGAGAATCTTATAACACATTATTTATTCATTATAGAAAAATAAAAGTTTGATATTAGTTAAAATAACATAATAAAAATTATTTATATAAGAGAAACTGCTAGGTATTTTTATTAAAGTAATCAATGAGTATATATGAAAAACAATAGGTATTAATAGATGTAAGCTAATATTATGTTAATTTCTAAAACAATTCTTGATTTTTAATAAATAGTTTATTACTCGTGTAAATATTCATAAACACTCCTGTAAACGAAAAGTTTATATTAATAAACATAGAATTTAATTAACTCATGCACAATTATGATTATGCATAATTTACCTTTTCATTATTCACTAATAATAAAAAATAATATACAAATATAAAAGAAAAACTAAAAATATTTTTTTGGCTTATGAAATTACTTTCGACGTGATGAAAAAAAATTTATTATTGGTGTTTGTACTTCTTCAGGACTAGCAGTTGATTGACGACGAACATCATCTATAACTGAATCTCGTCGAAAATATCGTCTTGCTTGATCACTAGCAGTAGTTAGTTCGTCAACTATATGAAATAGATAAAGATCTTATTTAATCTCCAATGAACGAAATTCTAAACATACATGAATCATCAAAATCGAAACGACGTCGTTCTGGCATTCGAATACGTTCACCACCTAATGATCTTAAACCTTCCATTAAACATTCAAGATATTCAAACATTTGAGCTTGCTATAATACATGTATTCTTATATAAAATTTTAGAAACAAAATAAAACAAAGAAAAATTTTACTTGAGTAGTTAAAAGATGTGTTCGATTTTCAAGTACTCGAAGTTTATTTACTATATTTTCTTGTGGAGATTGTCTAAATATACAAAAAATCATAATAATATTGATATCGATTTAATAATAATTATATTTCTCACATTCGTTCTTCATCAAGATCGTTATCATCAACTAATTTTCTACCAACTTTCGAATAATTATAATAAACTTCATCACCAAGTGCATCTTCAGCTATTTCAATATTACTTGCAGATTTTTCATCAAGAAGAACTTCTATAAAAAAGAAATCATCGGAAACTAACAAAAATAAAAATGAATTCTTATTTTACTATATTTAGTTCGATTCGTATGTTGAGCATATGTAGCTTTAAGCCATGATGATTTAAGACAAGGTGATACAGCATATAATATAAATCGCCATAGATGACAAAATATAATAAATGGTGGTGGTAAGGATGGTCGAGATAAATATTCACATATTAATGAATATCGTTGAAATTTCCAAATTCGATCCGTATCATTTTGAAGTCGATCAAAAGTATTACTATACTCAACAAAGAAAGATTATTTTTAATTATCAATAGCATCAGCATGAATAATTAACAAATTCAATACCTAAACATTGCAATAAGTAAATTAACCAATAGTATACTGACAATGGCCATATAAATAACAAGTAAAATAAATACTGCATAACCATTTGGACTGTAATTATCTAAAAGAAACCAAAAAGTATGTATGAATTCAAAAAAATAGTATGTTTCTTACGTTCAAAAGTATCTAATGCATTTAGTTCTCCGAATATTTGCCAATAAGCAAGATTTATAATATCACGAGGTAGATGCCAAGTAAACTCTTGTGCACCATATATAAGACTATAAGATGATACACCAAAACCCAAAATGAATACAGTTAACATTAACATAAAAAATTTCAGATCGTGTGCCTTAGAAAAAATAGAATTGGTAAGAAAGATAAGATATTAATTCTATACCATTTCTCCAATCATAACAAGTTTTGGACCAAGTCGTTTAACAGCTGCAAAAAAGTCTAATGAACGTATGAACCAAAGCGTTAAATCAACTGATAAAACAATACGAGCTGCACAAAAACATTCTGTTGTTGGAATAAATCGAAGCGTAAAACCAATAAAAAAAAGTACTATAGCCAACATATCTAATCTATTCCAAAAGACTTCAAAATAGGCTGTAATAGCATTACGAATTGTTCGTGCTTCCAATGAAAAGAACTACGAAAGAAATATATACATAACAAGAGAAGAAATTCAAATGAATATTTATATTACTTGTCGAATTTCTTCACATAATAGTGTAAAAATCCAACCAGCAAGTATTATTTCTGTAACAGATGGTCGATTACGTTTTTGAAGTTCACTTGATACTGATTGTTGATTTGTAGTCGATTCATTAACATTCATATTTTTTAATCTTTCGAGTTGATTAGCTGGTGCACAAATATCCGATTTAAATTCGTAGAGAGGATAAAAATCGCACAATATCACATAGGAGAAAAGTAATAAAAAGGCCACATGAAAATACTAGAAAATAATACGAATCTTATATTCATATCATACGTAATTGAGTTGAATACTTACTAAACTATATAAATATTTAACAATTGGTGCACGTATAAATCTTAGAATATTTCCAAAATATCGTAATATGTGAGTTCTAGTTCTAGAATAAGATTACAAAAATTATTCTTTGAAATTATTTTCTATAATCTTACGTTGACTAGTAATTAAAATTTTAAGCATTAGTTTAAGCAATCAGTGTTAGAAGTTTGTATCTAAAAATTAGATTTGTTTACTTTTCATAAGAGCCAACATCAACGAATGTAACAGGAATATCGTCGATCTCGTTAACACCATGCATTAATCTCATATTAATACTATCTGATGTCCTAGAAAAAGAAAATTAATATAACCAATTATATATTATACTAAAAGAAATTATCTAAAAATCAAATCTTTGGAATACCTTTCTGTTAAAGGTTTTCCGTGTTTTGTTTGATGTTTCTGTAATAAATTTGTTTTTCGAGATGTATCCTAAAAATATTAAATAGAAAAAAAACAAAATTAATACAAAGTTAAGATATACATTAAGGTATGATGTTTGTTCATTTGTTTTAACTAATTCATCATGATAACGAAGAGTACCACTGTACCATATCATAATTGATGAAAAGATAATTGAGTTATGAGTTTCTCGTTGATCAATATATCCAAACCTAAATTAAAATATATAAAATTTTTAATTCAAAATTTCAAACTAAATATACCATATATTATTAAGTACATCTTGTACAGCACGTTGTGCAATAAATTGTTTAGCTTCAGCTGTTATAGCTAATTCTAACCATGTTACATTACCATATGCTGGTATTTTTCGAATAATAGCTTTTGTACAAGCACGAGTATTTGTTTGATAAAATCTATCAAGAATTTGTACAGCTAAACTTTCAAATTCATCAGCTGTTTGATGATAACTAGTATCATTTGTTTTACGAGCACGTTTTCGATATATCAATGTAGCAATTAAAGCAGCACCTAAGAAAATATATCTTTGTATATATAATAGAAACATAATCTTATTTACAAATTTTATTTTTTCCACGAGCCCAAAATAATAGATTGAATTCACGTCTACCAGTTATGACAGACCAAAGAAAAAGTTCTCTATCAATATCCATATGAATCCCGGACGACGACGACGACGATGTTGATGCTTCACAATAAAGTAAAAATATACAAATTATTGATCTCTGCCAGCAAAAAAGATCAGTTAGAGTTTGAACTTAAAGACTAATCAATTTACGATCTAATCTAGCGTTATTATTGCTCTAAATTCTATCATATTTCTACACTCTTTGAATGACATACCTTCTGGATTATCAACAATTGGTTCCACATAAACAGCTCGATCTGATCGTGGTGCTGTAAAACATGAACATGCTTCTTTTTCATTTTGAGAATTCGCTCGACTAAGAGAAACATGTCGCTTTGGATGTAAAACAGCTTCGACTTCAAAAAAATCGCCTATTAATGGTTGAATTATTTCTTCATAGATTGTTTGTAATGAATCAACAGAAGTAGAAGTAAAATAATGCTATATAAAATAAATAATAATTCGGTTAATAATTCAATATATTGATCTACCTCTTCCATTGTATTCATATAAAGTAGTGGGAGTTTACCATTATTACGAAAAACATCAGTTAATGAAAAATCATGATCAAGAAATAATTTAACAAACTCTGTTTGATTTCGACTCAATGCTAATTCAAACATATCATTTAAATTAATTTTCTAATTTCAAAAAATAATATAATTTACATAGATATATCTATACTATTTCAAAAACGTTTTCTTACTTCCCAATCTCGTTCATTATTCATAATATAATTTTTTGCAATATCAACACGATTCCATTCTAATGCTAAATGAAATTGTTCACGTTTTCGTTGATTATTTGTTTTACTTGAATCATGAGCTGATGTAGCTAAAAAGAAATATTTAATTAAAAATAATAAAAATCTGTATTTTTACCATTTAATAATGCTTGTAATATAGCTAAATCAATATCAGGTTCAACTGGACTTCGTGAAGTAAGACTAACAATATTTAGAAAATTCGTACGTGTATCAATACATTCATAAACTAATTCAAAATAATCAGTTGTATCGACTGCAGCAGGCCTATGATCTTTTGTAGTTGTTGCTGTACTTAGACGTGGTGCTTTAGTAGTATGAGCATGTGCTGAATCATTTGCACCACTAATACCACGAAGTTCATGTTTAAGTTCTTCACGAAGTTTACTTTTTAATTCATCATAACGTCGTAATACAGTACTCGGATCCAAACTAAAATACAGACAAGCAAAAAAAAACAATTCTCAGGCTCTGTGACTTAGAGGATAAATATTTGAAGAAAGTAAGTCAATATTTACTGTGAAGTATCATCGGTAAGTTCAAGTTTTTGACGATATTCATTGTAAAGACGAAATGCTTTAGCAAATAAATCACAACAACGACCTGTTCCTTCAAAAAATACAGCTGGTATATTATTTTGAACAACAGCTTCATGGACTATAAAAAAAAGGAACAGTTGAATTTTGATATAAATAAAAATTATTGTACCTGTGCGAACAGTATTTGGACCACCTTCAACAACTAGAAGAACAACAGGAACTGGGTCTAGGATGAAAAAACATCAAGTTGAATCATTGATGAAGATAAACATAGTATATCAACCTAATTGTTCTGGACGTAAAGATTGTGTTTTTGTTAAAGTTGGATATGTACTATTAGAACTGGTTGCAGGTCGTGTTGCAAAAAAACCACCTGATATAGCTTGTTCAAGTCGAGCACGAAATTGAATCTCACGTCCATATTTTCTTTCACTACCATCATCAACAAATATAAATTCTGTATGATTAGGTTCAAGTGGTGCTTCGCCTTTTTGTTCACTACGTGATTTAGCATAATGTACATTTGCTCCATGAACATCTAATTGTTCAAAACCAGATACACAACCCCATGTAGCAATACCCTATTACCATAAAGAATAAAGAATAATTCAATATTCAAAAATTGACTTACAATTAAATGAATTGGACGAGAACGATCAGGATTTATTTGAACAATTTCACCAACAAGTTTCATAATTCCAGTATTCATACCACCAGTTATAATCCAAGCACCTTCAAATAAATCAAAACTCAATCGTAATATTTCTCTTATAAAAACAAACTATTTTAATTTCGATTGAATTGATCATACCTGTTGTTCGAGTTACTTTTGAAAGTCCACGTCGAAATGCTCTCAATAATTTTGGTTTCATATGATAATCTTTTGCACCACCTGTAACTGAAATCACAAGTGATGGTCTCTAAATAATCAAAAATTAATAATACAATTTCTCAAAATCAAAATAATCAAAAACTAACTTCACTACACCATTGTCGATTGAGAAATTCTTTAACACGTGCAACAGAAGCATCAGGTGGAATACGAATAAATTCTGCTCGATTTGATTTATTATCAGCAACTTAAAAATAATCAAATAAATTCATTTCGTTTCTTTTTCTTGATACAATCTTATTCATCTTACAAGTAATGGTTCCATGTGATTTAACACCAATAGCTGCATGTAACTATACACATATATAGATTTATGAAATTTACTAAAAATTTATATTTTTACTTGATTACTCTCTCGTCGCTGATGTGTAGGCATAAAGTTTGATAATATTTTATTTGCATTTTCAAAAAGAAATTTTTGTGTAGGTTGATCTGTTAGATTTGGATTGTTTGAATCCACCATACTCACGAAATTTCTCGATATACAGAATTATATGATATGCTTCACCTGTTTCATAAGATATTATCATTGTCAATCAGTATATTTTGAAACGAGAGAAACTAAGGCAATATCAACCAATTAATCGCTTACCATAGGATACACCAATCACAAACGATTCATATGATTCATCCTATTATAAGGAGAAGAATCGTATCATTTTACGTTTTATTATATTATTAGTAATACAATGAGTTCGACAACGAAAAAATTTCGTGAATTTATGGCTGAACCACTTGGAGATAAAGGTATTCGGGATGTTCCTGGTATAGGTGACGTTCTCGGTGCTAAATTATCTGAAGCTGGTTATGAAAAAGTTCGTTTTTTTTTGCTTAATTTTAATTCAAATCAATATTTTATTTAGGCTTATACATTATTTGGTAAATATTTATTATTAAATAAAGATCTCGAACAATTTCAAGATTGGATACAAACACAATGTGGTGCAAATAGTCATCAAGCTAAAACAGCAGCACAAGCATTATCTGAATGGGCTGAAGCTTTTATATAAAAAAAACTTATATTGATATTTTTCTTCTTTTACTTTTATGAAAATAAAAACACAAAAAACCTATTTTTTATTGAATTGTAGATTTTCATATTTTTTTTTTAACAAAAAATAATGTCATCGACAACATCACAAAAATTTCGAGATTTTACTGGTGAACCATTGAAAGATAAACATATCAGTGAAATACCTGGCTTAGGACCAAAATTAGCAAGTAATTTAGAAGAAAGTGGTATTTCAAAAGTATGTTTAGAATGTATTCGAATATGAATATATTTATTTTATTTTTAGGCTTATGAATTATTGGGCATTTATTTAACATTATTAAAAAATAAAGATTATTTTGAACTTTGGATTCGTGATAATGCAGGTGCTAATCGTCATCAAGCAAAACAATGTGCCGATGCTATCGATTCATTCTGTTCACAATTTCTCTAAAGAAACACGTTCTTTTTATTGTCTATTAAAAATATACATATATATAGGAGATTTCAAGAAATAAAAACGAAACTTTGATATTATTTTATAGATAAAATATATGATATTTTAATTAAAAAAGTTCTATAAAAAAAAGTCATTATTTCTGTCTTCTTTGTTAAACTATCCGAAATCTTTTAGTATAAAATTACAATGTTTTACCGGTCAGTATTGACAATGCTGATATCGGCGCTAATTCTTTTCGGTAAATAACCATGGTTTAAAGCAATACTTATATTAAATGGTATTCATTCATCGCAAAATTTCAATTAATGTCAAATTGATTTATTTAGTTATCAATTATAGAATGAAGTGCGTTGTTTGTACAACAGTTACCATTGCCATATGAATAATCTCTTGAGTTTAACGTTCTGCATTTGATTATTGATATACGCAATTCCAATTATAGATGAATACGTTATTTTTCTACATGTCGTATTTTCTTTTCTTATTTATATCGAACCAAATTTTTTTCAGTTATTTACCCATTTATATTCTATTCTTTTTTATATTAATACAATGAATCATATTTCTTTGATGATATTATATCGTTGGGTGGGGGTAGCAGCTCGTCATTATATTTAATGACATTTTCATAGTTTTATTTTCTTTTTCTTATAAATAAAAAGGCGTCGACTCAACCATCATCACCACCATATAAAAAAAGCTACGGAACATTGAATCAATAAGTCAAAATATGTTTCGTCATAAAGATCATTCAAGACATAATATAACTCTTGATACTCCTGATACGCCTTATTCGAAATCATATGCCATCGTTGTATCATCAACAACATTAAATGATAATAATTGGAATAGTGTTGTTAGTTTTTTATTTGATCGTCATTCTAATGCTACTCTATTAGTTTATTCAAATAATGATGTTAAAACAATTCATTCAGATTTAAAAGCAGCAATGCCACGTTATGTTGCATTTGTTTGTCAACCAGATGAATGTGGACGAACATTTGTTGCTAAATGTCATCGTTTAATGCGTACACTTGATAATGATCCATATATTGATGCAATGTGGGCAATAATAACTGGTTCTGATGCTGAATCAGCAATAAAATCAATTGATAATGAATCTATACCACAACCGTTTATTATTCGACGAGCAATAAATTTTACGAATGTTGATCAAAATTTATTTGAATCATGTTTTACATTTTCGGATGCAAAAAGAAATTGTTGGTCTGGAAAAAATTGTGGTTTAGATGATGCAAGTGGAGAAGAAAAAGATGAAGGTGATGAATATCCAAAAGCACCAGCAGAAATATTTGCAGAGAAATTAAATGAAATGGAACCTGATCTTTTAGTAACAAGTGGTCATGGAGGTGAACAATATGTTGAAATGCCTTGGTCTGTAGGTAAATTACAAGTGGAAGAATCAGGTCTTGTTCCTCTTGATGAAAATTCTGAACCTGCAGCACCAATTATTGAATCATCGAATAATCCGAAAATATTTTTACCCATTGCTAATTGCCTTGTCGGTCATTGTAATGGATCTCAATGTATGGTAACAACATTTCTTGGTCGTATGGGTGTTCGACAAATGTGTGGTTATACAGTTCGAACTTGGTTTGGTCGTGCTGGATGGGGAACACTTGATCTTTGGAAAAGTGTACCTGGTCGATTAACTTTATCCGATGCTTATTTTTTACATCAAGCACGTATGACATATGATATAAAATCAATTAATCCTCGATTACTTGATTTTAAATTTGAATTTTCTGACGATCCAGATTATGAAACTGTTGTTAATCAACTTGAGAAACAATATCATTTAAATCATGAGAAAATTGATGACAAAGTACGTGAAGAAATCTATGGTTTATGTTATGATCATGATACATTTGTTTTTTATGGTGATCCAGCTTTTCTAGCAAATTTACAAGAAAATTCAATTGAAAATCTTTTAACAACAAAATTTCATCGTACAGGAAAAACTACACATCAATTTATAATTGAATATAAAGATGTTGAAACTGCACAAAATTATAAATTACCTATTGGTAGTATATTTACAAATCGTATTGAACATTTCAATATTATTAATGGTTTTGAATATGTTCCAATTTTATCGGATAATTTTCTTATGATACTCAAACCAAATCCTCGTGATAAAGAAAGTACAATAATAAAAATTGATTTTCGTGGAACATTAATATAATAGAAAAAAGTCTGTTTGGTTTTTATTTCAATACACAACTGAACAATAAAACTTGTTCAAGAAAGGAACAAAAAAAGAAGTTGTCTTGTTTTTTAGTTTTTTTAAACACACATAAAGGACTAGTTGTCATCATCTAATGCTGGTATTGTATCCATTTCAGTATCTTGATGAAAAACACTTCGAAAGATAGCCGACTAAAAAAAATAATATATGAAATATAAAGAAGTTATATTTTAACATACTTTATTTAAATCATCTTCCGATGCGCCAGTAGGTACTAAATATAAAAGAAAATTTTTATAAGAATAATTCTGTTACTGAAACTTCATTAATAATAGTTTCGCGTAACCAGACGCGGGCTAAGCTCCCTGCAACTTTTTTCAGGTTATGTCCCTAGGAGACGTGCTCATATTTACCTTCATCTCCTTGAGTTTTTTTAGGTGCAGTTGAATTTGATGTAACATTCGTTGGTGTTGTTTGTTTTTGTTCAGTTGTATTAGAAGTTTGTGATTGTATTTTTTGAAATAATGTTGGTTTACTTGGATCGTAAACATCTTCGTCATCGTCATCATCATCGAGATTTTCAATAGTTGAACTTTCAATATTTGGATCATGTCGAAACGATGTACCAGATACTTGATGTTGTCGTGATGGAATGTATTCTGTGATAACATTTTTTTCGAGATTTATTTGTTCACTTAAAGGATTTTCTGTTGAGTTTTCATTGGTAACAGGTTCTTCAGGTGCACGAATTGAAGGTTGTAATGGATCATAAGGTAAATCACGTTCAGGATCATAACGAGATAATTCTTCTTGCTAAATAATTAAAAACAAAAAATTTTCTTTATATAAAACAAATAAAATCTTACGCGTTTCTTTTCTTGATATGCGATCATTTTTTGATTATAGAATTTATAAACAAAATCAGCCATTTGTGGCATATTTTCCATTACAGTTGCTTGATGTACAATCGATTGATCACGTTTCTCCTAAAATAATTTAACACGATATTGTATGACTGATATATATTATTTTTTTGCAACAGACCTCTCGTACACTTGGATATGTTTCATTCGGTAAAATATATAATTTCGATGGACGTTTCGTTAATATATTAAAAGCAGGTGTTAATTCAAAACAACTAAATTTTATCATGATTTATTATAAAATAAATAAATAAATTATTGAATTACCTTTCAAATAGATTAACTCGACCGAAAATAAATAAACCAAGACGTGCTCGAGACATTGCAACAACTAATCGACGAACATCACTGAAGGAAAAATATTCGATGTAAAACAAACGAAATCAATAATTTTATTTACCGTAAATGACCAACAGCTTTCGTACGAACAAGTGAAAGAAGAATATAATCATTTTGTTGACCTTGATATTTATCAACAGTAGCTACCTATAATAAAATTTTGATAATAAATAATATTTTAAATATATTTAAAAATTTACGTACTTTCATTGGTAGGCCAAGTAAAGGATTTTGTGCACAACGTTTATTAAGTACATCACGTATAAGAAATTTTTGTCCATTATATGTTGTAAGTATTGAGATTTTTTGAGCAGGATAACCAAGTAAACGCATATACATATAAGTGGCAACAATATATTCAGCTTCAGCTAAATTCTAGAATATAAAGATATAACATTTAGTATGATAGTTGATTCCTGGGGCAGATCTACAGCGGACGAGATAGGGGCGGCCGCACCCCCTTTGGATCTGATTTTATGCTACTTTCTGGCAATTTTTCTCCAAAATATTGTATTTTTATCGTGACCGCCCCCCCCCTTTTGCTTAACCGCCCCTCCCTTTAAAAAATTCGTGGATCCGCCACTGCGATCTTCAAAAAAGCAAATGTATACGATATAATGCATCAAAAAGATCAATAGGTATATAAAATTTTCTTCTTACTTGATAGAAATATGGAATTGGTTCTGATTCTCCAACATCATTAAAATTTTCTACATTAATTAATTGATAATCATAAACAAAACCAGCATTTGTTGTTTTAAATTCTTTTTGTTGTAAAACATGTTCTAAATTTCCCAAATTTTTATATCTCCAATTATATAATGAACAGAGTGATGCACGTGCACGACCTTGAGCATCTAAATCGATAGTTGGTACACCAAGACGTACTAAACGTGTAAATAAAGCTTGTTCCATATTTGAATATTTTTGAAATGCCATATTTTTAATAACTGGTGGTAATTGATGATGATCACCAATCATAATACAACGTTTTAAACGATTTCGTTCTTGTTGATCGGATGTTTGTAATAATAATGGTATAAATGTTTCAATTTCAAGTATTTGTGCTGCTTCTTCCATAAGAATATTATCATATTTGAAACCACATTTAACAAGATCATGTCGTTTTAATGCAGCATGTGTACATGTCATAGCAATAATTTTTGCTTCTCGTACTAATAAATATTTCGCACGATCGGACCCATTACGCATTAATTCAAATGAACGAAATTCTTCTAATTGTGTAAATATTTGTTGAATATAACGAAAACAACCTTGTGCTATATCAAGATTATATTCAAATGTTTGTGTATTATGAAATAAATTATGATTTAAATCCGAAAAAAATTCTTTAAATGGAAATCCATTGATTAATACATCTAAATTATTATTTGATTGATTGATTTTACTTAAATATTCTTCCCAACGTGATAAAACATTATACATATAAAAATATGCTGCTGTTTCACATGTATAGGATAAATCACCTTGAACATGTAAACTTTTTTGTAAACGTTCAACTTGTTCAAGTAATTCTAAACGTTTTTTTAATATATAATTAACACGTCCATAACGACTAAAATCTTTGTCGGTTTCAAGTTCTTCTTCACCATGACCAAGACGAAGTAAATGTCGTTCATCAACATCAAGTCCCATAATTTTTTCAAATAATTGATTTAATGCTTGATTTGAATGTGTTACAATTAATGTACGTTGATCAGGATAATTATGATAAATATTTGATATAATTTGTACAGCAACATCAGTTTTGCCAGTACCAGGTGGACCAACAATAAGTGTAAGACCATGTTGCATACCAGATTTAATACCTTCAATTTGTGTTGGAGTAAAACGAACAGTATTTTGACGTGGTTTATTATATGGATAAGGACCACGATTTGGAATTTTATAAGGTTCTAAGATAATTAATTTTTCACCGGCATGTTCACCTTTTGTACGTAAATCACAGAATGTTAATCTAAACGGAAAATAGAAAAAAAATTTCATAAGTATTCGTGACGACCTTCTGGACAATTTTCAATACGAAAACTCAGTCTTTATTCGTATGCTCAAAGATCTTAGTGTGAAATACCTGAATGGTGGTACATGTTTTGATCGATCATCTTCCGTTGCACGAATTTTATAATCTGGAAAACTTGCTCTTAAATGTTTAACATCAAGAAATGTATCATTCCAGTCTAATGTTGGAATTTTATTCTTCATACTAAAGAAAAGAAGAAATCAAAAGAAAGTTCTTATTATATTTTAACAATATGTATTCTTACTTTGTATAATGCGCTGATGCTGGATCACCATAACCTAATATTAAATCTTGTAACCAATCAGGTACAACAGCATTTGTATTCATTAAATCTCGTATAGTTTCTAGAACAGCTTTGAAATTATTTTCTTTTGGTTTTCTTCTCATTAATATATTAAATGTATCATAAACATCTTCAGATCCATCTAATGTTGCTGTAATATCAGCTTGATATTGATTTGGATCAAGCCATACACGCCATGTACGTGTATCACCAGTCATGACTGGTTTTTCATCAACACCTTCTTCAATAACTTTTCCATCTATATTTAACATTCCTTCAATTTCACAACCACGAACATAAGTAAGACCAACTTGTGGAATAAATCCTTGTCGATAATCATATGCTGTTCCAGATTTAGTTGATGGTTTACATGTAATTAAAAAACATATATCATGTTTTCTTAAATGTTCCCATTCTCGTTTAATATCTTTTCGTGTATTAAGTACAAGTGTAACATCAGCACGAACACGACTTGGATGAGATTCACCAATATTTGCTTTTCCAACTTCAACAATAGTAAAATTTGTTATTGGTTGAGCCATACGTGACCATCCACCAAATATACATTGTTGATGAGGTTGATCATTTCTATCATTCATTATAGTAGCATCATTTTGCCATGGTTTCATACGACTAATAGAATCTTCAATATCTTGACGAATTTCATAAGTTGATTCAAGACGAAATAAATGAAAATTACGTAAAAGATAATCATGTAATGTAAGAAATTGTAAATTTAATTTGGGTAAAGCTAAACATGTTTCACCATTATAAAATTCTGTTGGAACAATATCTTCATCCCAAATTGTTTCTTCTGTTGGATATAATGGTAAAGTATTAATAATCTAAATGAATAAATAAGAATTCAATAGAAATATAGATAATGAAACACTGTCGAAAATTTTGATAACATGCATTGAGTTTAAAAAATTCGATCTTAGTGTCCTATGCGAGATATAGTTTATCGAAATGTGATGATTCTCGCTTTTAGATATGATGTTCGAGGGTCGATCGAAAGTCTTCCATTCTGAGCTGGACTAGGTACTCGAAGTACTCGTACTCGAGAAAGTCCGTACTTGCCCAGCTCTGGTTCGGAACTTCCGTTCGATTGACGGCGATACTATTCGATGACCACCTGAACGTTTTGAGTGGCTTCTTCTTAGATACTGTTTCGTCACTCAACTTAGGCGTTTGGAATTCATGTCTTGCTACAAGCGCTAGTGTCGACGATTTATGCACCAGTTAAAGACTTTCGCACCTTACTGTATATTGGATTTATTACTCAGTATACATTCGGCATGTAGAACAGTGCAGAGACCACTTCCCTCTGATTCACGATTTTGTTAAAACCATATCTTTACTAAAAGCCTTAATAGAGTATTAAATTCAGAAGCTCGTTCTTTATCAAATTACATCAAGAATAAAATTATCATTTATACAAAATTAAGATATGGTGTCCGTTCAGCGAAAATCATATCAGCGAACGGATTTTTCAGAGAAAGTAAATGCGCGAAAGTCACAAATGTGAAACATCTTCCACCCTCACTTTTCGTCCATACCCTCATCAAGAAAAATCATTTCGCTGAAAAGCCTTTCGCTCATTTGCCCCCCATATGAAAATTAATCATGTTCTTTTATAAGAGAAATTATTTTAATCTTACTTCTAAATGACTTTGAACTTGTTCATGTTCTAATATAAGTACTTCCATTAAAAGTTGTCTATCTTTAATAAGAAGAGGTGGTTGAAGTGATGCTCCAATAGATTTTAATTGTTCATCATTTAATTTATCAAATTCATCACGTAATAAATCACGTTTATCAATTGTTTGAATATTTTGTAATGGAAATGTTGGCATATCTTCTCGAAAATGTTTAAATATAGCTTGTTGTAATTGTAAAACTTTGTCATAATGTTTTTCCATTAATTCATTGTGTGTTAATGTTTCACCAGTTGTATCATTGATTTCAAAATTTGCATAAAATTCGAAATTAGTTAACATTTTATGAAATAAATTAACTGTTTTTGTTGTTGCTTGTACTTCTTCTTCATTATCTTTTCGAAATTTTTTTCCTAATGATATTGATGTATTATCAATTTCCATATTTTCATTATTATCTGTTAATGATTTTGTAAATGATGATAGAAAACAACGTACAACAAAATTAATATCATCGAGAACAACATTAAAAAATCGACGTGTTGGTAATTGAACAATAATATCATTAAATAATTCAAGAAACCGTTCTGTATAAATAACAGTTTCTATTGGATATTGTCCATTAACATTATTAACAGGTTGAATATGTTCAATAAGATGAAGGAATTTATCAGCTAATTTTCGAAGAAATGTTCGTTCGAATAATGTTACCTGAAGTTCTTCAGCATCCAATTTTTCATCTTTTTTACAAATTAATTTCCAAAGTTTACGAAATTTTGGTGTTTTTTCAAATTCAAATTCTCGACGTTCCTATATTAATCATTATATATATACAACATTTTCTTCTAATTCATAATACTTACTGGAGTTAAATTAGTCCATATAGTTAAACCAACTATTTTTTGTATCTGAGATCGAATTATATCCAATTCCTAAACATAAATATAGTGAATAAATTAGATTCGATGAGGCTTCGCGTTTCTTCATTGATTTCGAAGATATATATTAATGAGACTGGGACTCATACTTCTTAAAATGACACGTTCGTGCTTATATTAGGTTTAATCAATGAGTTCTGTGATTAAGGTCTCTAAAGAACAGATAGTCGTATTTTTCAGATCCTTGTAAACGCTATCTTCGACTTTTCGTTGAGAAGTTGTATACGTCAGAAAAAGTGAATTTCAGATGGCGTTATCAAGAAGCAGTTTTTATAAAGGTTTTAAGCATCTGAAAAATACGATCACTTGTCTTTTAAGGACCCTAATCATAGAACTCATTGATAAAATTAAGTATTAGACTTCATTGGTTACTCAAATCATCATGGGTTACTATTAAAAGGTATCGTCCTGCTGAACTCTGTTAATGAATCAACTCATACAAGTTCATTTGTATCATTCAACAGCATCATGCTATATCTACAAATCTTTTTAAGCTTTTCGATCAAAAGAAATATCCTGATCAAACGATGAAGTAATCACACTAAAACAGTCTATTTCATTAATATGGTCGAGTCACATCGTGCACATTAACAGTCAAAAACGGATGTATAAAATTCGATATCATGCTTATAAATTTATCAAGACATTCTATTATACTTACAAGACTATTAAAACAATGATCAAGAAACATGATTAAAATAGTTTGTTCTTTTATTGATAATTCATCATTTTCCAAGCATAAATGCATCACACGGGATAAAAATTTACCAAAATTTTCTGGATGTGCAATAATTGCCTAAAATAATTCATGAAATATACTAAAATCTATTTTGATTTCAGATACATACATCCCATGGTTGTACACGTTCTCGAAATTTTTCATTGACCATTACACAGACAGATATAACATGATATGGTGAACACTAAAATGAAATAATTATTTATTTCATAATATTTATGAATTTTTGCTTTACTTGATCTGGATTTAAATTTGGCCAAAGAAAATTTTCTAAATATTGACTAAATTCTAATAGAATAATTCGACGAAGATTAAAACTAAAAATAAAAAATTTGTATTTAATTCATATAAATTTATATTTATCTTACTTTGAACCTAATAATTCTTTAATATATATTTCATCCACGACTAATCGATCAAATGCACGTCTTTGCAATGCATATGATGCCCAATATTGTTCCGAAAGCTAAAAAAATAATTTAAATTTTGTTTTTTTTTAAATTCTTTCATACTAGTGTAATTCGATCTTTATTGATTTGATCAACAGTGGGTGCTGCATTTTGACCACGTGGCATGATCTAAAAGCAAAATCTACACATGCATACACACAAAAACAAATCAAACATCATCCTTTTTTTTATTGAGATAAATAAATAAGGTTTTAGTTAAACGAACTAAGAAGAAAAATAACAATGAGAATAAGACAGAAAAAAAAAACGTTCGCTATTTTGCCAAGAAAACATCCATTTGACTTCTCGTACAATAAAGATGATAAAAATAAAATCACACAAACATATATATATATGTATCAATGATGAAAAAAAAACAAACAAATAATGAGTTATATTTTTATTTATTGAAGAAGATTTCGAATTTCACGATGTAAATGATAGAGAAAATCAACGTATGATGCACCACCTGTAAAGCCTTTATCTTCAACAAGATAATTCTTGAAAAATGGTTCAATAGAATCACGTTGTTGAACAATAAATAACTTTAAAAGAAAAAAAAATGGTATAATTTAATATAAAAAAAAATATTTTCTTATTTACTTTCATATATGCATTTCGTTCATTACGAATTACATTTAATAATGTTCGAACATTTCGAGATATTGGATTATCAAGGTCAACAATACGACACTATTTTTAAAAAATTGAAATAAAATTAAAATTTTAGTAAAAATATTTACTTTTTCAGGTTGAATATGTGCTGTGTTTTGAATACCAAACAATGATTGCACAAATGATGGATCAACTTGACTACCAAGCCAGATATACATAACAAAACCATTTTCTAAATAATCGATATTTTTTTTAAATAAATTCTTAATATACAATTAAATATCATGAACATTTCTTTACATACAGTATGATATGAAAGTCTTTGACCTATACATATGTCAACTTTCTAGAAGATAGGATGAGATCTACATATAGCTTTGTAAATTATAAAATCGATCAATACTGACGCTTATGGCACGACAATAATTCTAAGCGCCGAACCACTACTTACGGAGAAGTCATCCGAATAGAGACCTGCAAGGAGTCAAGTAAATTTCATACCAATAATTCAACTTTAACGTTAAAAATTATATAAGTTCATAGCTTTGTTGTCCAACATTTTCTCTACAAAACTATGTATTTTGAAGGACAGATCGATGGTTTGTTGAACCTCACCAACACAAAAGAAAATCGGAGTCACTTTCGACTCCGACTTTTTCTGTATTTTATTTTGGTTTGTGAGACTCGCTAAGACGTCTACCAATCCCTCAAAATACGTAGTTTTATAGAGAAAATGTCGGACAACAAAACTATGAACTATAATAATTTTCAGCCTTAAAGTTGAATTATTAACATGAAACTTACTTGACTTCGACGGCGACTCCGTGCAGATCCCTCCATTCGAAATGAGTGACAAACTATCATATCTCGATGAAGACACGAAGGAAGAGAGGATCATCTACTAGTTGTGATACTTTTGTACCTCGTGCTATACGCTATCTGTGTATACATTTGACTTTCGTATTGATGACTTCTATTCCGAAAAATACCGTACTGTATTACGAGAAAAATTTCAACAGAACCCTTATAAAAGTTTCTTCTTACCGATAACATAAGCTCCGACTTCCGAGAAACGTTCATATAAACATCGAACATGTGGTGGTGGAAGTTTATCTTCCTCTAAATCATGCTAAATAAAAGAAGAAAATTTTTCAAAAAACAAAAAAGATATTTTCTTCTATTAACAAACCAATGCATAAACTCTTGGATAAAGATATGCAAATGTTCCTTTGATATCCATCGACATTAAACGTTGCATTAATAAACTTCGATCATCAGTTGTTACTGTTTGTGCTAAAATATTTAATAATTAAAATACAATCGAATTTTATAATAAAACATACTGCCAGTTAAAGCATCGCATTTAATTAATGAAGTGACATAAACTGGTAATAATTTTAATGTTTCAGGTAAAATTAATTGTCCAGCTGTTGTTGCTTGTGCACAATTTTTTCTATAACATGCTAACATATTTGCTGCTTGTGTTATTATATTATCACGAATACTCTTTGGAGTTGACACTGTTATTGAACGTAGAGCTAAAATTTTTCATAAATTAAAAATTAATTCTTATTAAAAATTTTTTTACTAACCAACTTTTGTTATATAATTCATAATTGTATCAAGATCACAAGCTGGATAAAGTGATGTATATGATGATGTTACTGTTAATGCTAATGTAAGAATACGTAAACGACGTTGACCAGATATACTTGTATATAATAAAGCAGCCTATTTTTAAAACGAATAAAATTGAAAAAAACCAAAAATAAAAGAATTATCTACTTGAATATAAGTATTGCTTTCAACTGCTAATTTATCATCATGTTTTAATTCTACTGAAACTGATTTATCCGAATCAATTGTACCAAATATCATTTCAGTTGCATTTGTCATATAAAAATTACCAAGAAAATCAATGGGTCGAATACCTGAACTTGTTCGTACACGCATTAATGCATCAAACGCTGTACTTCTTTGAAAATTACGTTTAAGATCATCTAACAATCGTTCACCATCATTTTCAATCTATAAATAATACATATATTTCGCTGTTTTTATTCTCAAGAAAAATTTTAAACTTACTGAAAAATAATTAAATTTATATATTTGTCCACCAGATACTCGACAAACTTCTCCAATTGTAGCAATATCAAGATAATTATTTGGAAAAACAAATAAGTCAACAGCACATCCATTTTGTGCACATTCTTCACCAAGTTTTGTATAAACATTATTAATTGGTGCAAGAAGTACCTATTAGGAATCATTATTAATAAATATATACATTTATATTATTAAACAAACTTTTTCTTTATCAGTTCCAAGAAGTTTTTTATCGTCTCGATTTGATAATTTTCCCGGTGCAACAGCGATTGGTAATGTTGTTGAAAATACATAAATTTTACCCGTACAATTTGCTCCCTGTGGTGAATATATATATTTTAACAACAAAAAAGAATAATTTTTACTTTTAATGCTTGAATACCCGATTGAATAACAGGTGCTAAAATAGTTTCTGTTTCTTGTGTATTAGCAAATGTTTGTGGAATTTGCTCAAGTAAACTTTAAAAAAAATTTTTTTTCTTCATTTTAATTATTTATTTTATTGAATTACCTATTTATTACTCCACGTGATTCATGTGGTAAACAAAGAAAACCATCAAGTAGAGGTACAAATATATCTTCAAGATCAGAAACAATCATCATTTGTGGTTGTCCAAGTGTATTCTAATAAAAAATAAAGGTTAGAATTTCAACAATAAATATATAGGTATGTATTATTTTCTAAATAACATGCATCATGCAAAAGTTAGAATACAAATATAAACGATGATTAGATATAAAAAGCATTAGACAACAAAAAGGACATTTAGTCTACTTGCCCCCTGGAAGAAAGATTATTGTCGAAATCAAATATTTTATATGAAGTCAAATGATTTTCTTACTTTAATATTGTAAAAATGTATTTGTTTATCAAATGTTGCAAAACCAACACGAATATTAGATGTTTCAGCATCTTTATCTCTATAGAAATAGAAAAAATAAATATTATATTTATATATTAGTTTAACAAACTTTGGTAAATAATTAAGAAGTTCAGTTTTTAATATATGACATATATATTCAACGAGACCACTACGAACACTATTGTACGATACATCAATCATAAATATAAATGCCGGTGGTTCAGGCCATTTTTCATCCTAAAAGAAAATTGATTTCTAAAGTTTTGTTCTCATAACTTTTTGTGTTTACATACTTTACAATATTGTTTAGTAGCTACGATTTCATATGAACCAAGACAAAGTTCTGGTCGTTGATACCAATCCATACGACGACCGCTATGATCAAGATGATTGAAATATTCAGTTGGTACTACAAATAATTGAAAAAATATATAAACAAAATGATTTTTTTATTCTAACCATCAGTTGCTGCTTCACAAAAACAACAAAGAAAACGTTTTCCACCATCAATAAATTGCATAAATGAGCACATATATGCTTTACATCGATGACATCGAACTGGACCTATTTCACCAAAATTTGTAACTGGTGGTTCAAGCTAAACAAGAAAATTTTTATTTGTTTTTAAAATAAAATAAAATCGTATTGTGAATATTACTTCATCCGATCTTAGACTTGCTAATGGACTAATAGCAAGTGCAATAGGTATATGGGATTGTTTAATCATGTCATGCGCATTTGGTATAGTATATGTTGTTGAACGAATAAAACGTGGATTACAACTACCTTGATCTTGACAAACAAAATTCGTTGCTGCTAATGGTGGTAATAAACCTGGTGCATTTGTTATAAATGGTTGTTGAATTTTTTCTTGACTTTGTTCAAGAACTTGAACCTAGAAAAAAGTTTTTTTTGTATATTTCAAATATTACTATTTTTATACTGAGAAGAAAAATAAATATACGTACAACATTAGGTACCATATCTGGATCGATACGTTGTGGTTGATATGGTTGTTGTACTGGTCCACTTGATGTTTGACCAGGATATGTATTTGGTCCATTCATTTGACTACCAGGCATCGATTGTGGACCAGAAAGATTTGGTTGATTAGGATATTGAGATTGTAATGGTTGTTGAGGATAACCAGGTGTTCCTGAAGGTGGTAGATTACCTGGAGGATATGAAGATGGTGGAGCATTATAAGGAGGTTGACCAGGAGGATATTGTGGCATACCACCCATGTTTGGAGCAGGTTGATTAGGAAACGATGGTGGTGGTTGCGATTGTTGTTGATATTGCGGAGTGGGCATTGTTGGAGGTGGACCGAATTGGTTTGGCATAGTCGGTGCAGGTCTCATTTGATTAGGTGGTGGTACTGATCCTTGATTAGGATAACCTTGCGTCATTGGAGGTTGATCTTAAATAGATATATTTAAAAATTATTTGAAGAGTACATAATATCATCAAATCATACTCATTCCATTAGGCATCATTGATGGATGATTCTGAAATTGTTGTTGATTACCAGGCATAGGTGGTTGTGATGAAAATTGTGTTGGTGGTAACTGTTGATTACCTGTAGGATAATTTGGTTGTGATTGAAACTGTTGAACTGGTGGTTGTTGTTGATGTTGCATATTAGGAAAATTAGGTGGAGCTATTGGAGGTGGTTGTTGATTTCCTTGAAAGTTAGGTGGTTGAGTTGGAGGTGGATGTTGATTTCCCGGAAAATTAGGTGGTGGAACTGGTGGAGGCAGTTGTTGATTTCCTGAAAAATTAGGTGGTAACGTAGGTGGTGCAAACTGATTTGGATACATTTGAGATGTCGGTTGTGATTGTTGCTGCATCGATTGCGATGGAGGATTAGTATTAAAGGATGGAGGTGGTCCAGCAAGCATTTTTCTTTTATAAAATCTATGAATAAATAAAAGTTTATCAACGATAATTAGATATAGAACAAAAATAAAACATAAAAAATTAAGACAACGTCATGCAGTTTGATTAAGCAAGAGCAAGACAATATTACAGGTATAATAAAAGAATGTATGTATGTATGCGTGGACGTTTTTCTATTGGTTATCGATCGCCATTCTGTCATTCATCGTTCAGTGAATAAAGATAAACTATATGAAATATGTCATATCTAACTCCCTTAAGCTACAAAAAGAATTATTTGAAGCTTGAATAATAAATAACAACAAAAAGAGTTTATAATATGCAATACCACTGAGTCGAATGATGTTGATTTATAGTGACATCTATCTCATAATAAGAAAACTGATTCTGTGTTCTTTGATGGTTACACTATAGTATAAAAAGGAGAAAATGAGCTTTCGTAGAATATTTTTTATTCGTAATCCAACGAACAAAGACTCATTTAAATCAAATAGTTACTTGAAAAATACAAGTTACTTTTCTGCGTTGATGTATATCAATCATTAGGTAGTACACTTTATACAGTTCTAGTGTAATCCAAGATTATTGAATAAAATCAATTGAAAATTGACTACTGAAATATGAATCTTGCATTTCTCTCTTCTCCTCACTACATCAAGTCAAACACTTAACTTAAAATATTGATTTGGTATTCAAATTTCACTAGATTCGAAAGCATTCTTGGTATTGTACATTCACTACTTAACATTAATATATCATTTCATCCATGTTTAAGTTTCATGTTCTTTTTTTTTATACAAGTACAAAGGAAGAAAAAAGCTGACATCTGTAGAGATCATCATATCAAGAGAATCAACAAAAATCTAGTCAACAGTAGGAAATAAAGAATAAACAGAAGAAAAAAAGCTCACACAGACTTGCACTGAAACGCATATAGAAAACAAATAGACAATAAACTTTATATAATAACAAACGAATGCAAAAAAAACAATCACAAGTTTATCATCTTTTATTTTTGCGCTAAAACTTGTTTTTTTTTGTTCTAAAATACTGTCTTTAACACTTTCTTAAAATAGAATACCAACTGACAGATACATATAAACAGATTTGCATGAAGAAAGATAAACGAAAAACAAACAAATTCTGTATATATATATACACACAGTAAAATACGAGAAAAAGATTTAACATTCTGTACCACGAACATTTGAAGGTGTTGATGTTTGATATCTTGTTGGTTGTTGAAGAGTAGATGGAGTTATATAATGTCTTTGTAAAGTATCTTGTTTTGGTCGAACAAGACCTGAACGTATTGTATCACCATTCGATAAACAAACAGCATCTGATTGACCTATACCAGAATCGGATGATGATATTGGACGTTCATCATATAAGCCTGATGTATTATCAGCATTTGGATTATTCAAACGTGTACGTGAATTTGAACGTGAACGTGGTTTAGGTAATGGTAATGGCGTTTTATTGAGATTATTGAGATTATCGAGAGGTGAACGAACAGAACTTAATGTTGAATAACGTGGTTTGGGTGGAGGTGGTCCATTACGTTTTGATGATGATGGTACAAGAAATGAACCACTTTCAGATAAAACATCTGTTGTTGTTGAATAAACAGGTGATTCATCTCCTGCTCCTCCCATTCCATCACCGCCTTCTTCATCATTTTCAAAATTTCTTTTTGCTGTTGGTACAACCATAGTTCCCGGTGATAACGGTCCATATTGATAATCAATTACTGGATGACCATAAAATTTATTGTTCACTGTACGTGTTCGTGGTGGTATTGAATTCAGACTACTTGAAACAGACTCGTGATCAATATAATTTAAATTACTTGATTCTTGAAGTTTTTGTTGATGATAAGCGGATGATGTTGGAGTTGATGATATTTGTTGAGAATATTTACCATTACCTAAATGAGCTGGAGTATCGTAAACAGTTCCATTCTAAAATAAACAAAAAGAATAGTCATACATTAAGAATTCTTTTCATAAATTTAGACTAACCGGATGAAGACGCTTCTCATTCCCGTTAGGTACCAAATGTGCTATTGTCTCGTCTAGAATAAATAAATAAATAAATTATTTCACTGAATTTAATTATTTATATAATCAGTTAGATGTGTTAATCAATATTACAAGAAGGGTATCTCTATGATTTTCTACATTATATCTTACCATGCGATAATTTTAATGTTTCACTCTCGGTCGACGAATCCGAATATTCTATAAGAATATATATAATATATACATATGCATGATTATTTAAATGAATTCATTTTTTTTCTTTAGTAATTGAATAAAGTATAAGATCTCTTTCGAATGTATTCATCAAAAAGATAATATCTTATCAAATAAATTATCTATTCATAACTTACTATGTTTTTGATAGGAATCATTTTTATTTGAAAATTTTCCTTGATCACGATGACATGTTCCACATAGACAACAAAGAAAAATTAATAAAATAATCCCGCCAAGTATACTTCCAATAATGATAACGGCTCTTCTACTAAAAAATGATGTTTCTTTCAGTACTACAATAGCAAAAGAAAATGTTTTATTATAAAATAAAATTTTCTTATTTTACATGATGGTTGATTTAACTGAATAACATATCCATAAGTATTCACTGGTAATGAACCATACCGATTAAAGGCTGCAACGCGAAATTCAACTGGTTCATGGAAATTTTCAAGTGCAAATATACAAGATTTTGTTCGCGCTATTTCCTCGAATATTTTATGATTATTTTTAGCATTATATTTGAATAATGTACAAGCATAACCTTCATTATCACCTTGTGCATAGCTTTTTAAACAATTAATTGTTATTGTTACATTGGAAGAATATGTATCTATGTGACATTGTGTTATTGCATCGGGTATACCTAAAAAAAACGTATTCAAAAATTAGTCTTGAGAAAGATTTAATGGCAATTTCTGTCAAAAACTATTTATTTCAAGTCACTATAAATATATCATATATAGACACTTGGCAATGAAAAGCTATATATATATTCTATGAGGTCAAAAAAGCATTTTTGTCTCATATTTGAATAGAGTTTTTTAAAGTGAAAACGCCTTTAAAACATATTTCTAGTTGAATAGATCGTCCTTCATCTCACAATCTATATATATTTTTGTATGAGATGTACGATCAATGTCAAGTACCACTGTATAGTCAGTTCACTGAGATCATTGAAAGTAAATATTTGCTAAGCATTTTATATTAAAACATAAAATTCACAATGTAATTGATAACGAAACATATGAACAAAGTTTCCTTTTTTTTTCCTGATAAGATAAAAAGTCGAATGATACATGTATTGATTACAAATTACGAAATCAACCTTTTTCAAATTTAATTACATATGCATATTCGAACAGATAAAACAAAATCATTTTCTATTCAATCATTGAAAGTATAAATCGATTTCTTTTTTCCTCTTACCTCCATGAATAAGTTCATAAGTACATGTATCGAAACCAATACTATTATTTGCTGTAACATTAAATGAATGAAAATCTTCAATAGATGTTGGTGTAATATCAAATTGAAAGAATAAATCATTTTGATCACCATATGTTCGACGTACAACTGATTGTGATAAACCATTTATTGAATAACGTAGATAATTTGGATTTGCTCTTGAAACAGTACAATTAATTGTACGTGTTTGATTAATTCCACAGTAGATTTTTTTTGATTTTTCTATAACACTAGGTCGAACTAGAAAACAAATACATGTGTTCATTAATGAGAAAGAATCTATTGAATAAATAATGATTATTATTTTAATGGTATCAAATTTTTTTTTTCTTTTTTTAATTGAAATCAAATATTTTACATACATTCAATATAGAGTTGTTTAGTGGATGATACAATAAGATTTTTGTCGATATGTTTCATATCTGCATAACATGTTATATTCTTCCCATTATGTTCTGGTGTTAATTTATTGATACGATAAGTTTCATAGACACTTGGTTTAAATTGATCATTAATCATAGTTGGTGGTTCATGTTTACCAGCTAATGCCATGATTTCTGGCATTGTTCCATTTTTATCTATTAATATATCAAGTGCTGGACGAGGATATCCATCAGCTGCACAAGCAATATCTAATGATTCACCTTCAACCATAGTTAAACAATTGGTATTATCAATTCCGCAAAAATCATTATTATACACACGAGATGATGAATGTAGATTCGTTAAATATACATGTTGAACAGGTACTAGAAACAATTCATTTATTTTATTTGATAGATATCGTTACATACACAAAAATTAGTTTATCTAACTTCGAAATACCTATCAAATAACATTATTACTCGATTAAGAATATAATAGGGAAATATTTCTTGAATATGAAGAAAATTAAGATGAAATTCTTTGATAGAAAATGATACGCTATCGATTAATGATGTAACTTATATGTTAAATGAAGATATTTTCAAGTATAAATGAAATTACATCATTGATAAATAAGATATTTCTTTTATCTTTAAACTTACCATATACTTGAAGTCTTTGCCATTCAGTATCATCTTGTGGACATTTGTAAAGTCCACTATCACTTTCAATAACATTATTTATTCTTAATACACTTGTACTATATGGATTTGAAAGACGTTCATGTTTGGGTGGTTCAAGTATTGAATTTTTTTTCCCATCAAAACTTCGATATTCATAAGCATAAATTGATGTTGTACGATTGTCACATAATTCAGCTATATCGCCACGTTTAACATATACTATTGTTTGTTGACCAAAACTAATTTTTGGTGTAGTTAATAATAAAACAACAAGAAAGTAAAAAGAATAGAATAACATCAGATCATTATACATAGTTCATCTGAAATGAGAATAGAACTAAAAAAGAAGAAGAATCATAACTATTATCTCTTACGGAAATGTAAATATAAATGATGAATCTATATTTGCTTAGAAAATGGATAGAAAGAGAAGATTGAAGAGTAGTGTTTTTCTTCTCCTAGAATAGATTGATTATATGAGAGAGAGAGACAGATAGTGAAACGAAAGAAAAACGAGACGTTCTGTTATTATTATCGACCTCTAAATACCGAAACAGGTAGTGGGTAATAATATTCTATTATTAGAAAGAGTAAAAGGAGAAAAGATGAAATGAAACTAATTATCCAAAGCAAATCGTCGAGTATCAACCTTGGAATAAAAGAATAAAAGAGAGAAAAAAAAGAATAAAATCGTTATTTTATATGGTCTGTGATCATCGTTCTTATTGGTTTGTATCTGGATCACATATGTAAGAAGAAGAAGAAAAAAGAAAAGACCCGTTGGGTTGCATACGACACTTAACGGCTCGCTCGCGTTCAACTATTAGTAATTGGTGCCGTCGATTACAAACGCGCGTGTGCGCTTGTCGTTTTATACACACAGGCAATAGTATATTTTTTACTGTTCGCTTGTGCTAGTTGTGTATGTATATACATAGTTGTTTGAAGGAACAGTAGAAGTAACAGGAATAGGACGCCGACGAGGAAAAACGATGACGGCGAACTGTTGACCGTTTATGTTGCACAACAGTGAGTGTCAATGACATGCATATGATCAAGATGTAAGAGAGACAGAAAGAGAAGAAGAGGGAGAGAGAGAGAGAGAGTAAGCGTTTGCAAGAGTGATGAGTGATACGATAACATGATTATGTGCATATATGCGTATGTGAAAAAGTGCCGAAAATGATAATAGTATCCGTGAGTAAGATAGACGAGAGTGAATATTACTATATAGATAATCTCAAGAGAAAGTAGATAGAAATTGGAAATTTTGCATGCTAAAATAAATCATTTATGATTACATACCTATGAATGTTAAGAAGACATCTATATCATTGGCATGTAAATATCGTAATTTATCGCCTAAAAAACTTTTCTTTCGAATGCATATCATAGAAATAGAAGCGGTTAAAGAATGTATAAATACAATACAGATGGTGATTTTAGAATATCTCTTTACAATTTCTTTATGCACGCAATGATAATCGTAGAGTATTTTCTTCGTGTCATGATCATGATACTACTATTTTTCTCGCTCGTTCTCTTTTCGAAGAATTACTATAGGATGCAAACGAGCGTATATGTACGCTTGCATAGAATGCAGATGGCATGAACACTTTTTTCCTTTTTTTCTGTTTCTATTCTACTGAAGGAAAAAAAAAGAGATGACCATCATCATTTCTACGCCAGTCAGAGAAGAGAACAAGTAATGAATGAATGAGTGAATGAATGAATGAATGAATGAATGGATGAATGACGTTCTTTCTTCTATGTCTCGGTTTTTTTTATGTTGTCTCTGTATGTATATGTGTTTGCTTCCATTCCTCAGCGTATCGAAACACACACACACACATACTCTTATGCATACAAAGAGAAATAAAGACTGAGAAACAAAAGAACAAGATGAAAAAATCGCGCATATATCGTCGATAGATGAATCTGGATAATGAAACAAGTCAACCCACCGATGTTGATGCCAGCCGGTCAAAGCACGTCCATTCATACATAATAAGTAGGATAAAAGAAGAAGAAAAAGAAGATGAAGAACAGAACCACAAAGCTTAAAAATACAGCAAAGAGAATATTATAGTGTAATAAGATGACAGCAATAAGTTTTCAACTAAGTTAACAAGTCAATACTAGATTTGACACCGTCCTATTCAGAAAGTAAAAACACTTAAACTTGTCTATGTTCTAAGACAAAAAGAAGGATATCGATTCGAATTTAAATAATATTTTGCTTTTTATTTAATACTTCAAAATTTTCTCAATGATATCGAAATTTAATTGTTCTCTCTTGTCTATTATTTAATCAATTTGATATCGAACGAAGATATGATGATTCAAGATGATGCTATAAAAAACGGGTCCTTCAACATTCGACTGCAAGCTTAAACTAATTCAAGTGGTCACTCATAAACAAGTCGTTTGAGTAATGAAGGCAAAAGTTATATATATATGAACGGGCGCAAGTTAATGACGTACTGTACTGGTAATGATAGTTGACGGGAAGAGAGCAAAAAGAGAGCAAGGAACATCCAATTTGATTAGTTGTATGTCACTAACATTGATCGACGAGAGCACATACTTATTCATATTGAACCAGCAGCATTTTGCTAGTAGGATTGCATAAGTTTATATATATGTATGTATATGTGTATATCGTATACAGACAATAAATGATCGAATTACACACTTGACATATGTACAAGAAAAGCGACATATATTCAATGCTTCAATACAATTAATATCTTCTACATATTAGAGAGATATAAATAATAAAGCAAAGATGACTTTCACATTTCTTTCTTCTTCTTCTTCTCCTTTACAATATGATTATCGGGTAAAATCAGCATATTTATGAAGTCATTGTCTTCCTTTTGATGTCGTCAAAAGGTTTCAAATATATGCAGAAGAAATAAAAAAAACGAGAAAGTGAAGGAGAAATAAAACAGATTTACCATCTTCTTTTGTATCAATCACATAGATGTATATGTAAAATGCATATATATATATATATATATAAGGACGTGCATTTTGTAGACTTCTTAAGTAAATCGATCTAGGCTTTAAATCAACAATCTCATATATCGTAGCCAATAAAACGTTCTTAAAAATCCAATCCATAATTTATTCATATGTATATAAAAAACTTCAATTTGATTGGTTAAAAATAAATCCAATGAAAATATATCAACAATATTCGAAGTGAATGCATTAATGATTATAAAATCATTCTATTAGTGTATATTTTATTTTTATTTTAGATCTATTTACTTTATTAGTTCTTTAACTTATATACGATTATTCATAGATACCTAGATTAATTTTATTGTTAGCTAATCAATAGAATTTGGAAGAAGAAGAAGAAAAAAAAAGAACACAGAACGAGCAATAAACAATTGTCTTTTTCCTAGTGTCACGTGCATTTTTTGTGTATTTCGACTGTTGGACGATGCGGACGTTGTTTCTTTTTTGGTAAATAATCATTTATTATGTATAATTATTCAACAGTTATATATTCTTTTATATTCTAGATGGATTTTTTACCTATGACTCATCAACTATTAAGTCACTGCCGTGATGAAACGCAATGCCCACACGGCAAATCCTTCTTTAACTGAAACTATTAATAATAATAATTCTCCAAAACGTTGTTGTACGCAAAAAGATAATAAAAATTGTGTTGCAAGGTATAAATTATTGAATTTTAAATATTTTCTTCATTTTCTTTTTTCTTTTAAAGTAATTCTTCAACTGCATCTTCATCATCAATTGATAATATTTCATGTTCAATTGTTTCATCATCAACATCAAGTGATTTATTAAACATGGAAGCAACTATGGATAATTTAATAGCTATGGGTTTTTCTGATCGAGAGTTAAATCTTAAAGCTTTATCGAAAGCTGGAAATGATATAAATGAAGCCATTACTTTTCTTACAAATCCAACATGTTTTAATGATGATGTTATTATTCCTAAAGAATCAACAACATTCATCGGTCCACTTACAAAAGAACAAGTTGATCAACAACAACAACAACCACAACAGCAGATGGTAAGATGAAAGTGAGAATATAGGACTTGATTTAAAAAAATGAATTGTTTTTAGGTTTCATCGGATAATAATTCAAGTGTATTGTCAGATGACTTATCAATGAATAATTCCAACTCATTCACAACAAGTGCTTTTCTTGATCTCGAAACAAAAGTCTACGGAGATAATTGGTCTATTCCTTATAAACGTAAATTTTATTTCAAAGAAATATTTAAGATCAAATTGTTTTATTTATTTAGGTGATGAAGTTCTTGGTCGATGTCTTCTATCAGCTGTGAAACTTGCTCTTGCAGGTAAAACTAGTAGTTATTAATACGGAGTCAATCAGAAAGAACGTCGAGTCAGTGTTTTATCTAGTGTGTGGCTCGGTGGGCGTCAGCCATCCGAAAAATACAATAGCTGCATATTTTGAGATGATTTGGGTAGGCGTTAGATGAACGCCACCCATCCGAAAAAGCTGTCAGCGCAATCCCTGGCGGGATTAAAATGTAAAACACGACCTAACTATTATTTCTATCTTCAAGAAGATAGCTTCATTGTATCTTGATGAAGCAGATTTCGTCTCATTCTAAGGCATAAAGGTATAGAAATATAGGAAAGAAATAATTTATATATAATGTATTTGCTTTATTAGCGTTTTAACAGTTGTGTGAGTGTGGCTATCGTAATCTTTGCTCGTTTATATCTACACCCACACCCTGTATAAAGGCCTATGATACGTTGTCGATCAGGGTTATGACCAGGTCAAAAGAACATATGTCGGTCACGTCTGTGATGGTCTATAATATCATATCGGTCGCCGCCTTTGATGTTCTGTCGGTTACGTTTTTGATTTTTTGTCGGTCACGGTCTGTGGGGGAAGGGGCGAGGCGTGGTTAGTTTTCTACTCTTAAACACTTCAACACTCCTTTTAGATCGTGTTTCACAAAACGAAATCTAGATAGAATATTGTATCGAATGTCTTAATCACCAATATATTCGAATATCGGCATAACATTCCGGAAATTTTGGGATTCAATTAGATCGAAAGTCCTGATGATTAAATCTATTATGAATACTAAGAACGATGATCACTTCTATTAGTCAGATTTTGTTTATCGAAAATTATGAGTACACCATCGAAGATTCTATTCGGATGTTCTTTATGAATAATTTCAATCTTATTTTTTTTTGTTCTATTTATAATACCTTTTTTAGGTACAGCTGATCAAGATGAACATTGTAAAAAATTTATGGAAAT